CTGTGAAGCTGAGCAGAACCAGGTTTGTGCAGGGTGGTGAGGGGCAGTGCAGGTGGATGCAAGTCGGTGCAGAACAGGATAGGGTGGGTTAGAGATTAAGCACAGGGGAATAGCGGTCAGCAGTCTTGCTGTCCCCCATTCCCCCTTAGGCAGGTGTCTAAAACAGCTAAATCTCTGGCCAGCAACTCAGTTTAGATCCCAGTTGCAGTGTGATGGGGGGCAAGCAGGGTGGGAGGGGAGAATGGCTCCAATGAAGACTGTTGCTGCTCAGCTGAGAAGCCAGGCAAGAAGCAGAGCGGGGAATGAGCTGGGGTGTGGCAGGGTGACAGGGTGGGCACCTCTGCCCATGCTGGGCTCTCACAGCATGGCTCTCCTCGCAAACAGAACCCCAAAAGGACCTGGGTGCCCATAACCCTGCTTAGCAGGGAATAGCAGTACAAGTCACAATGCCTTCCACAGGAGCCAGAGCACACTCCACACTCCCTGCGCCTCCCCGCACCTGGCCTTCACACTGCCTGGCAGAAGACTTCAGTTTGGGAGCAGGTGCCACCAGGCGTGGTGATGCATGCCTGTGACCCCCACCACTCAGGAAGCTGAGGCAGGCCAGCCTGGGCCAGACAGTAAAACTTTATCTCCACATGCCCCAAATAAACTTAAAATCAGCAGCTTCTTCAGTGCAACCTGTAAGGCAGCCATCACTGCTGGCCTTTTCACTAAAAGCCTGGGGCCAAACATGTTGCCCGGCACCCCATCCACAGCTAAACTAGGATTCTGACCCAGGTGCACCCTCTTAATGGCTTGTGCATCCACCCCGCCAGGTGGGCAATGCTTACCCTCCTTCTCAGGAGGTTTTTTTTTTTTTTTTAGAAGGGTCTACAGGGTGTTCAGGGTCTCACTACTAGAACCAATTTGTAGGGATCTGCCTATTTATAGCCTCCCAAAAGCTGAGATTACAGGCTTGTGCCACCATACCCAGTCTCAACTGCCATCTCTGTGCACCCTGGGGGTAGGGCCAGCACAGCAGGCCCAGGGATTGAACCCCCAGCCCCTGTGCCTGCTCAAAGGCACTTTAATCTGCTGAGCTACTTGGTCAGCTGTAAGAATTCAATTTTGAAAGAACTCGCCGTCTTCTGTGACAGGGTCTCACTATGTAGTCCAGTCTGCCCTCAAACTTGTGACCCCTGGGGCTGGGGAGATAGCTCAGTGGCATAGGCACGTGCCTGGCAAATACATGGTCCTGAGTTCAATCTCCAGTACCAGGGGGAAAAAAAAAAAAAAGCAAGCAAACTTGTGACCCCTGCCAAGTGTGGTAATTTTAGGTGTGCATCACATCAGACTTCAAGTGATTTTACTTATTTTATTGAGAAACAAACAGCAATGAGACAGTTTCAACACTGATTACTAGGACAGTTTCAATAATTAATAGTGATTTTACTTTAAAAAAAAAATTATGCAGTATAGGGTTTCACTATGCAGCTGGACTCGAGTGACGGTTTTCAGCCTCTCCAGCACTGGGATTACAGGCATGTGCCACCACACCTGCCAGCTCAGCACACCCAATACCTTACCTGGGCAGCAAACCCGTCCCTGTGCTTGCCTAAACTGGAGTTCGGTCTGTGAGCTATCTCGCTGGCCCTATTTTTTTTTTAGTATTGAGAATTGAATTCAGGGCCTTACACTTGCCAGGCAGGTTCCATGTTGCTGAGCTATACCCAAGGCCCTGAATAATTAAAAGTTGGTGTTGGGCCAGTCTCCTGTCCACTACCACCTTACCTTACTGAGATGCACTTGTCAAAAGAAACCAACCATGACTGTTGTCTGCAACATCTTCTGCCTTAAACCTTCATCTTCATGATGGAGGATGTTTTTGTCTTCTTGACAATTCTCAGGAGTATTGTCTAGAATGTATGCTAATTAGACTATCCCACAAGCCAGACGGTTGCTCTTGATGTGGTTCTAACCTTACGTGGCTGGGTTGGTGCGGGCCAGATTGTTCCTCAAGGTTTACCATTTTCCCTTCCAGGCTCTATCCTTTCCAAAGTAGAGTCACCAGGTCCAGCCAGCCACTATGCTTGTGTGAGCTCTCCACTTACCACAGAGGAATGCTATGCTTCTACCTACGCTGCTTAGAAATTTAACCAAGACTTATAACCCCTTACTCAAATCCATTTTTTTCTGAGGTGGTGTATCTTCGTAGCACAGGCTGGCCTTGAATTAAGACTCCCGCCTCAGCCTCCCCAGAGTGCTGGGATGATGGGCATGCACTGCCACACCCAGCTTAAGAAAAAACTGTTCACTGCCCAGGGGGAGTGGTAGTGCAGACCAGTAATTCCACTATTTTTTAATTTTTAATTTTTTAAAAAAATTTTTGTGTGTGGCCAGCTCAGCCCATCAGGGGGCGGGGCTGGCTGGCATGTGGTGCTGGGGGATTGAACCGCGGTCCCAGTGCTTTGCTAAGCTTGTTCTAAGTAGGTGCTCTAGACCACTGAGCCATCTCACCAGCCCAGTAATTCCACTATTTGAGGAAGCTGAGACAGGACTACTATGAGTTGAGTTTAAGGCCAACCTGAACACCACAATGAGATTGGAAAAAAAAAAGAAAAAAAAAAAGCACATATAAATGCCTCAGAACAGACAAATCTAGATGAAAGGTTTCCCTTTAAACAGGTTAGGAGCCCTGGGAGATAGCTCAGCAGAATAAACGCCTGCCTGCAAATGCAGGGTCCAGAGTTCAAAAAAAAGAAAAAGACGAACAAGTTAGGAATGACCACAAAATTGCTTGCTTTCCAGTGCTGGTGAGGAAACTATCAAACTACACAGCTTGTAATAAAGCTGCAATTTAAAAGTGTAGTCCATTGAACCCAAGTTATATTCTCTCACCTGAGTACATTTCTTTGTTAAATAAAAAAGTGCAGCCCTCCACACTGGTTTTCTTAGCTGCTAAAGGGGAGGGGGGGGGACACCTTTCCCATCAGGTTTAACATTGAATGGGTGATGGGTGTGGTGGTGCACACCTGTTACCCCAGCACTTGGAAGGCTGAGGCAGGGGGATCACTCCCACATTTGGGACCAGCCTGGGCCACATAGTGAACTCAGGGCCAGCCTAAATTACACAGCAACACACACACACACAAAACCCTCAAGGGTGATACATTGCCCGGGCTGCTCCGATGTAGTAACTCACTCCTTCTGCAGTGTTTCCACCTGCTTATTCACTGCATGGAACACACTGCTCAAAATAAGCCATTACAGGTTTACCCTAGCAGCATGCCAAAGCACCATCCCCAGCCAGGAGGGATGGCATGTACACACCTGTCATGTCAGCACTTACGGCTGGGTTGGCGTGGGCCAGGTTGTTCCTCAGGGTTACCATTTTCCCTCCCAGGCTCTATCCTTTCCAAAGCTGGGTCACCAGGTCCAGCCAGCCACTATGCCGGCTGTCCTCCCAAAATAAAGAGCTAAGAATGTAGCTTATTCAGTACAAAGGCTCTGGGCTCCACTCCTAATACAAAATTAAACTCCAAACTAAACCTGCGGAGGACCACCTTGTCATCTCCTTGAAAGGAACCGTCTCCATTTTGGCTAAGCCCTACCCTATTTCCACGTGTTGCCATGTACAGAGCTAGCTAGGACTTTTCCTTTTCCCTTCAGCTTTAAGCAATGCACACTGGTCTAGCCAAGGTGCTGGTGGTTGTCTCTCCAGGACAGCAGGAACCAGTTTCCCTGGATCCTCCACCTGCTGCTCCCTTGTTGAGTGGGCAGGGTGGGATGTTGAGCCAACACTTCAGGCTGTCCTGTCCTCTGGGATCAGGCCTTGAGATAACAGGTTTTGACTTCCTGAGGCCTGAAGGATTACCCATCAGAGCTGAAGCCCCAACCCCAAAACATGAGATTCTATCTCAGTAGTGTAACTGTGTAATACAGGTTACTCTTTCTGCACACTCTTCTCTAGAGCTGATTTTAGGTCTCCCAACTAACTAGCCCAGCTCACCTACTTCCCACCACTCGTCACTCATCTCAAACCATTCCTTTCATGGATGAGTAAAATCCAGGTTCAGCACTGGGTCGAGGCTAGGACCCCATGGCTCCTCATAACTGCAAATAGGCCTTGAGTGTCTTTATTCTTTCCATGGGTTGCACTGGGAATAGTAGATTGGAATTTGACAGGCTTTCAATGACTTATCCATGGGATCACAGATACAAACTTCTCAGACTGAGATGCAGGTGCTGGGGGAGGGGTGGGGGGCTCTTGCTAATTTCTCTCCTCCAGCTCACTACCACCTTATATTCTCACCACCCTCCACTTTCTACCTCCTCAGCCCAGGGAGATCTCATCCTCCTGAGGTCCCCCCACAACAGCCTTGCCTCTCCTAGCCCCAGGGTACTGTAGCAACCCCCACCTGGTGCTCATTCTTGAAGCTGGATGCCTGCTTTTGGAAAGCAGTAACTTTCTCTTCTTCGTGGCTGATGAAAATAGGACTTGGTGTGGATCTGTGGGGTGACTGAATCTAAGGTACTTTATGTACCAATGTGGAACCACCTCAAGATCTGCCAAATGAAGACAAGCAAGCTGCAGGCGAGCGAGCTGCCCGTTCCTCACAGAAGGTGTGGGGGAGAGACGCCCACACACTGGTATATTTGGCTCAGGTCTGGAGCTCCTCTTCTGCTCAGGCTACACTTGATCAACAGTTCCCACTGAAGTTCTTTGAGAACCAGTCCACTTTTGGAACCAGCGTCCTCCGCTTTCAGACAAGATCTCTGAGGCCCTGCTCTGTTTTGGACCACGTAGGCGACCTGACACCCTAGTGGTGCTGCCACCTCATCTTACCTCAGCTGGTTGCAGAGCCCAGGTGAGTGGGTACCACCTTCTTGTGCAACAGGTCCCCCACACTTCTAACGCAGCATGCTCCTGTTGTCAGCTATGCCTCCTGTACATCTAAGATGGGGGGAGGAAACAAAACACCCCTCGAGGTCTCCACCCCACAAGAAAAGACTAGTGCTGAAGCAGTGTACATGAAGGTAATTTATTAACAGAAACCAATTTGAGCCTTGTTCACAGACGGCGACCACGGCGACCTCCCTTCCTGCGGGTGCTGTCGGAGGGGATGGGAGTGACATCCTCTGTGAAGAGGAAGAGAAAACATCATTGCCTGGAGTCAGCTCCTCAAAATATCCCAGTTGGTCTCCACTGGCTTCCCAGAATTGTAAACATGCTGAGTACAGGGACTTTAGAGGCAGGGGATGCACCTACTGACTGTTCCCTGACTCTTTGTTCTGGAAAAACCTTACCAACAGGTAAGAGGAGGGTGAAAGCAGGAAATACCTCATCAGGGCTGGTGAGATAGCTTGGTGGACTAAGCACCCGCTTAAGCAAACATAGGGACCAGGCACTACATGCCATGCTGGCTCTGCCCTTAGGTACGCTGAGCCACCCAGAGACCAGGCATGGGGGCGCACATCTGTAATCCCAGTGCTGGAAGGCTGAAAACAGGAGGATCACTCAAGTCCAAACTGCATAGTGACACCCTGTACCAAATACATTAAACAAAAAACAAAAAAACCCCTCATCTTCAGATTAGGACACGCTAAAGCTCTAGGCCAAGAACCTATTACGCCTTGCTACTAACAGCAGAGACAATGGGGAAGAGCAAGCTAAGGCCTCCTTAAGGAGCTGGAAGGGATCTAGTCACAGATATGGAGTCACAATGTCTCGGTGTGTGGTGGGCAGAGACCAACCTGTCAGTGGCCTACTGTGAAGATGATCCAGATACTACTAGCAATGCCCCCAAGTAGCACTGGGAGGGATGAAACATTCATGAGATTTAAGTCACGTAGTTCAAGAAACCTGTCAACAGTGACAGGACCAGGTCCTCTACCCAGGACACAGCACATGATTTTGGGGTCAATGCTTCAAAATCAATCAAGGTGTCAGCTGTGTGAGGGGTACACTTACCAATCCTCCCGATCTTCATGCCCGAGCGAGCAAGCGCTCTGAGGGCTGACTGTGCACCAGGTCCAGGGGTCTTAGTCCTAGGAAATGAAGGATTAAATTAGCCAAGCCAATGAGAATTCTTTCCAAGAGCTCACACTCACCTAATTTAAGAATCTGCAAACTTGCTATAAAGAATGAGACAATAAATATCTTAGGCTTATGAATCATGTCTTTTGTTGCTTATCCCCTGCAACGGCAAAGAATCCTTTCAAACACCTGAAAATTACTCCCAGCCCTGACTGTACAAAAAGCTGCTGCAGGTCACATCTGGTGTGGGTCAGGCTGCCCAGCTAAGCCTTTCCCTCCTTCGCACGGTGTGACCAGGCTTTCTTTCCAGCTGCTCCATCCAAGATGCCTCCACTTCCATCTGGTCTGCTTCCCACCCAGCGGTCAACTCTTCTCATTCCAGGGCCTGACCCAGTGCTCAGGTTCTGCCCAGTCCTAGACACAGTGAGGCTCCTTGGATTGCCTCATGGCACTCTTTTCCACATAGGTACTCACATTCATTTTCACTTCAAGACATGTTCTTTGCAATGGTCCCTGGCTGGAATACTCCTCGTGTGCTCCCTCAGGGGAAGACCCCTAGGTGATCTTGTGGGTCTTTGTTTTTCTGTAGCTCTGGTGACTGAGCCTAGAGTTTGGGCCTGCTAGCTGTCGCTGAGCCACAGCCCTAGCCCTCCTAAGGTTTAACTACTCTGTATCACCAAATCTATACAAATGGTACTTTTGCTTCCTAGCACTTACCACAAGTGGAAACCAGATACCACGCTGATTCACATTAAGTGTGTGCGACTCTGCTAGCCTAGGTGCCACACAAGGAAGGTGGAGGCCACAACTGCTTTTCCCCATCACTCTTCTACCAGCAGGGATGCACACAAAACCCAATTATTTCACTTTATATGCCTAAAATATCTTGCTCTGGGTTACGAGACAAAAATCAAGACTTAAATCCCAGCACTTGGGTCTGGGGAGATAGCTCAGTAGAATAAGCGCTTGCCTGGCAAGCACAGGGTCCCGAGTTCAATCCCCAGTACCGCAAAAACCAAAAACAAAACAAAACCCCCCCAGGACTCTGGCACCCAAGGCCAGCTGTCTTGCTACCACCTGGTCCCAGCCTTCCGCACCTGTTTCCTCCTGTGGCGCGGAGTTTGATATGCAGGGCGGTGATGCCCAACTCCTTGCACCTCTGGGCCACATCCTGGGCAGCCAACATGGCAGCATATGGGGAGGATTCATCTCGATCAGCCTTTACCTTCATCCCACCAGTCACACGACAAATGGTTTCCCTGGGGACAGAAGCACAGCATCTTTATTACCAAAAAGAGATTCACTGAGTACCATGGCACATGACAGTCAACTTAAACATATACCTGATCCTGGACAAGACAGCAGTAAGCACTGCTTTCAAGGGCTCAGTTTACTGTTAGCTTTACACTTCTTTTGGTATTTAGTACAGGGTCTACAGGGTATCACTGAACAGATTGGACTTGTAGTGATCCTCCTGTTTTCAGCCTCCCAAGAGCTGGAATTACAGGCACACATCACCATGCCCAGTCTCAGTGAGCCCTGGGGCCGGGGCCAGCAGGGCAGGCTGAGAATCAAAGTCCCAGCCCCTGTGTCTGCCTAAGCAGGCACTTTAATCCACTGTAGCTCTACACTTTCACACTTTCCTTGAATACAAAAGGCACACAGTTACTCTACAAGGTATATGCTATGATCCTCATTTTACAGAAGGGAAACCAAACTAAAAACTGCCGTGACTTCATACAAGTCATAAAACTTGATAGTGGCAGTCAGAACCTGTACCTGAGGTGACTTCCAGTCCAGCAATGCGGCCACAGAGTACTGACATCAAGGAGCCAGTAACGATCACACTCTAAGGCCACAGGGACACCACCTGGGAAGTTACTGTATTTGTGGACAAAATGAATAAGCACATTCCTCTCCTTGGACAAAACAGTAACTGCTGTTTACTGAGGATCCCTAACTGCTCTACTTGGCCCCCAGGTCACTTCTTCCTTCAGCCTTTGCCAGCCAGGTTTTGTCTGCCCACTCAGGTACTCACTTGCCAGAGAGATCAGTGACATGGACGAAAGTATCATTGAAGGATGCAAAGATGTGACAGACACCAAATACATTCTCTCCTTCAGCCACCTGAGACCCGAGGCTGATGACCTGTTCTTCCTTCTTTTCCTTCCCCTTGCGAGGTGCCATTTCTGAACAGAAGCCCAAGAATGTTAATCTTAACAGGAGACAGTTTCCAGAACCCTCCTTCTTTGGCTACTAAAGAGGCCCTGTTCAACCAGGTGTGGTAGCACATGCTTGAAATCCTACTGCTCTGGGAGGCTGAGGTGTGATAATGAGTTTGAGCCTTGCCCTAGCAACTCAGTCAAACTTTCTCAATATATAAGTAGGTGTCCCTACCTACATCCACACATACTCTTTATCTCTTCCCCACTAACACCAATTTTTCCTTTCACTTGGGGGATGTCAACTGCTGACTAAAAAGCAAACCACCAGAAGTAACAACAGGCTAGGGATATAGCTCAGTGGCTTGAGCACCTGCCCGGCAAGTGCCAAGGTCCTGAGTTCGATCCCTGGTACTACAAAAAAAAAAAAAAAGCAACAAAAAAAACATACTCATCACAGATCACAAACATCCCTAACTTTTACCCACTGGTCCTCCAAAGTGCAGGCAACCCACTCTTAGGTATCTACAGACCAAAAAAACAACTGGTAGTTTTGTAAAACTCAGCAAATCAATTCTTTCTCTTGTCAGGCATGGTAGCATACAACTGGAATCCCAGCACCCTGGGAGGCTGAGACAAGAGGATGGCCACAAGTTTAGGGCCAGGCTGGGCTACATAACAGGTTCAAGGCCAGTGTGAAGTTCATAGTGAGACCGTATCTTTAAAAAAAAAAAAAAAGGCTGGGAGGTGGGGGAGGAGATAACTCAGTAGAGTAAGCACATGCCTGGCAAGCACAAAGTCCCGAGTTCAATCCCCAGTATCACAAAACAAAACAGGGCTGGGGATACAGCTCAATGCCAAGGCCCTAGGTTCAATATCCAGTACCACAAATGAAAAATTTGTTCTTCTGACTTTTACTGTTTCCAATATACAAGCTAAGAAAATTTTGATTAATTCAGTGTAACACAGCAAGTTGCAGAGCAGAGAGCAAGGTTTTCAGTTCACATAAATTACTTCCAACAACACTAGAACTTCTGTGGCCCCAGATCTTTCTCTTTTTGAGACAGGGCTTCACAATGCAGTTCAGGCTGGCCTTGAACTCAACAGTGATCCTTCTGCCTCAGCCTCCTGAGTGCTAGAATTACAGGCGTGTGCCTCATTTACATCGTAGACTCAAAGAAACCTTAAAAACTATATTCCTTCCAGGATCAACACCTGTCCACGAATGTAGTCTGAAGATCCCTTGTTCATGGAGGGAAAAGCCCACTGCCTCACTTCTATACCTGTTCTTCAGCTTATGAGTTCAAGAGTCCCTGGACAACAAAGCCCTCCAGCCTCCTCCCTTCACCAGTTCCCTTCCAAAGCCAACCTAAACGCACTTTCCACTTTCCAGCAATTCATTGACACCTTCCCACTGTTTGGAACCAAACCCTTCAACTTTTACTAGCCCCAAATATGATATGCACTAAATCATTTCTTTCAGGAAGTCTGATGGACAAGACTTACGCCAGAAGACCCAACATCGTGCTACAACCTACAAATCAAGTACGTGACCTAGGAAAAAGGGGTCAATGAAAACACGAAGACTAGGAGGGCTGCCTCCAGTCTGGAGCCCCCCGTCCTTCTGACCATCCGGAGCCTCAACTATCAGAACAATTTTCTAATGTTCTTGGATGAATGATTCAAATGAAACATTTCAAGCTATTCCTACAAACGGGGCAGAGAACATCAGTAGGCGGTGCCCAGGATCCTATTACCAACACAAAACCTCACCCGCTGCACTCTGCGCTCTTACCAAGATACCTCTACCCCACCCCACCCCCACCCCCGGTCTGCACGTCTCCAGCGCTCTGGAGCTCCCTATGCCTTGCTTACATGCTGGTGTCTAGCCACAGTAAGCACTACCGGTGCAGGCCTGGGCGTCCTAACATCAAACTAAGGAACATGTCCCAGGGGGGAAGCACTGCAGTGAAGGCGCACAAGAGAGAAGACCCCCACCCCCACCCCGCCAAGTTCTCTGCCTGGAACAGCCTAAAGAGGTACTACTAGATCTCAATGAAAGCTCTGACAAGCTGCCTACTTGAGTTTGCCTAACGCCCTGATGTGAGGTGAGGAATGTTCACCTGGCTGGGCTCTGCACCCAGCGAACACTTATATACAGCCCCTACCACCAGTTTCAGGCCTAAGAAGCCAGCTTCTCGCGCGCAAAGCACGCAAAGCGCTCTAGTCAGCAACAACGATCACCTGACTCAGGAGCGCCGAGGGCCAGCACTCCCGCAATCTCTCCTGGAGTCCGCAACTAAGCTCACGAAACGGTATGGCTATTATTTCTCTCTTCTGGTAGGCCTGCGATCGACCAGGAAGAAGCCGGCGGGACTGAGGTGAGACCAAAGGCCGTAGGACCGAGTTAAGGCCTTAAGGCACTCACCCGCGCTTCATGCGCTTCCGTCCGAAACCAGACAGGCGCCTTCGGGAACCAGGCGCAAACCTGATCCTCAACCGATCGTGATCCGGGTCAGCCGGCCGCGCGACTCTCGCCCAGAATTTAGCTCAGCCAGAAAGACCCCAATTCTGCATCCTGAGCCCGTCCGGACCCCCCAGCTAAAGGATGCCGCAAGATTGTTGACTACCAGGCCTCTCACCTGCTGGTCGTCTCCAGACTCGCCTACCGGAAAGAGGGCGGGAGGGGCGGGGCGCTACGTCACTTCCTGTCCCGGAAGTGTACCTTTGAGGGCAAGGGGCGAGGCGTGTATTTGGAAGACGCCGCTTTTATTATTCCCAAGAGATTAAGACTCGCTCTCGGGAAACATAGCGTACTTTAAGGAGAACGAAAAGAGTGAAGAGACTGGGTGTCGCTGTGAGCGAATTTACCGACGCGACCGTATGACGCAAAAATACGGAATGAGGGAGACTTAGGAGTCGCGGTGGCCGTGGCTAGATGGACTTCCGCCAGCCTCACTTTGGGCCTGGCAGCCTGGAAGCGTCAGCGCTCCTTGTGGCGCGGAGGGGAAAAACAGCCGCAGAACAGCTAGAGGTCCATCTTTTTGCCTACTTCCCAGAACAAGGTGAGAATAAGTTATTCAGTACTTTTATGCCAGCCTCCGCTAAGCAAGTTACATATGTTGTTTTATTTCACAGCATTATCATACAAGTACTGTTTTGGTTTCCTTTGTACAGATAAGAAATGTTAACCGAATGTAGTTGGAGATATGGGGAAGGACTAGCAGATTTTGGCAAAAAGTAAATAAAAAAACGCATAGCTATGTACACAGGCATGCACACACACAAACGTACAAACATGCATAAAGTATATAGGCTGGATGTGATGGTACATGCCTGTGTAATCCCAGCACTCGGGAGGCTGAGACGGGAATATCATG